TCCCCTCTCCATTGCAACCCTCGGCCATCCTCGACAATCCTGTAGACTCGTCCCCACTCCACTCCTCGGTATTTCGCCCTACTCTGGATTCCTTGTTCCATCTCACTCGTCGGCGCTTCTCCCGACTCCTCCCCACTCCATCGCACTCCCCGGCGCTCTTCGGCATTCCTCCAGACTCCTCCCCGCCCAATCGCACTCTTCAGCGCACCTCTCGATTCCTCCCTACTCTATCACACTCCTCGGCACTCCTCCTGACTCTTCCCGACCTCCCCACTCAATCACACTTCTCCCCACACGCCCCTGTGCTTCTTCCGACTCGTCAGGATTCTTCGCAACTCCATCACATTCCTCGGCCACTTTTTTTACCAGTTTTTATTCTTTCTCTTCTTCTTTTTTTTTTCTTTTTTTTGTTTTTGTTTTTATCTTTTTTTTTTTTTTTTATTTTGTTCTTTTTCTTTTTTTGTGGTTTTTTTCTTTTTTTTTTTTTTTTTTTTTTTTTCGTTTTTTCTTTTTTTTTCTTTTTTCTTACTCCTTTTTTTTTCTTATTCGTCCCTCTTCTCTTTTTTGGTTTTTTTTGGTTATTCCTTTGTTTTTTTTTCTTTTCTTATTTGTCTTGTTTTCCTTTCTCTCTTTTTTCCTCTTCTTTTTTGGCTTTTTTTTTTCTTTTTTGTTCTCTCCACCCCACTCCCCCGACTTTCCCCCTCTTCATTGCAACCCTTGGCACTCCTGTGGACTCCTTCCCACTCCACTCCTCGGCTCTCCTCGGCTCTCCAGGCTCCCCGTACCATCTCACTCATCGGCACTCCTCTCGACTCCTCCCAACTTCCTCGCACGTCTCGGCTCCCATGCTCCTCAAGAGTCCAGTCCACTCCATCGCACTCCACACCGCTCCACGCCACTCCTCCCACTCCACCGCGCTGCTCGGCTCTCCTCCTGACTCCTCCCCTCTTCATCGCACTCCTCCTCACTCTCCTCCAGACTCCCCCCGCAGTCCATCGCACCCCGCGGCGATCCTCCAAAGTCTTCCCTTTCCTTCGCACTCATCGGCTCTCCTCCCCAAAACTTCCCTTGCCATAGGATCCCTCACACCTGGGTGTGCATGTGTACAGGACTACGTGTAGGTTTCCGTGAACGCACGTGTGTTTATATACACACATTCAGACACATCCGTTCACGTGTCTATCATTCGTTGCCTTTTTGCACGAGGCCGTCTTCGGATATGTGTTCGTGTCTATTCGTGCCTCTTCGTATCTAGTTCGTGCCTGATTAGTACGCGTGCCTATTTCCGAGTTTATTATTGACGCTCGTGTCTGTATATGGTGCCATGTCGTGCTTGTGTGTCCATCGACTCGTGTCTATCTTGAACACCCACACTTCGTTTCCATTCCTATGTCCTTTCCGCCTGTTTTTTTTTTCAGTGTGTGCAGCGCGAAGAAATATATACGAATTCTTTTAGGCAGTATGCAACGCTTTCAAGGGCAACGCCAAGAAGATAGATACCCTCTCTTGCAGGCCAGGGACTCTGAGACGCCCCCTGGTATCCATCATCACCGCCTGGGGGATCGATCTCTCGGGACCTCGGCAGTCGCCAGCAGCCTTGGGGGAGGAGAGGGACAGGCTCAGGACTCCATGCCCTTCGAGGCTCGAAGTTTTCGGGTCGAGATTTTCAGACGTGCTCGTCGGTCCTCCTCGGCGGTCCTTCGGCGTCTCGGTTGTCTCCAGCGGCTGCGCCTCGCCGAGAGCGTTCCGCGGGTGCCCAGATCGTCCCGACCGGCCACCAGGGGGGCGAGCTCTGGCCCGAACACTGCAGGGGACGGGGATGGGCTCAGAGGGTATGCATCGCCCCCCCCAGTGGTATCGCCGATAGGGGATCGATAGCCCACACTGCCCAGGCACATGCGGTTTCGCTATCGGGGGCCGATCGGCGATGCCTCGCCGATTCCAGGTCGATGTCCCCCCCCCCCCCCCGGGGCCAGTCCCCCCATACCTCCGCCCCTTAGGCAGGCGGTGGATGTGGACACACTCGGGCCGTTGTGGGGGGGGCGGGCCCAAAATGTTTTCATCCACCAGCAGAATGGCGCCACTTTTTGCGCGCTGGACGGCGCGCAACAGTTGTTTTTGGGCGCATCGACCCGGGCCCGAGTCTACCGAGTACTCGCAAGGGTGCGGATGAAGGGAGGAGGCGCCTGCGCCTGGGGCGGGGGGGGTACACCACAGCACCGACAGGTCGCAGAGGGCTGCCCTTCCCTCGTTTCTCCGCCTGTGGGCCTCCTGTGTGGCCCTCGTCGCCACCGCTGGATTCGCCTCGAATGGTCAGAGCGCACCCTGGGAGAGGTCCGGGGAGTAGCTTTTAGGTCGGGCATGTCTACCAACCGGGGGATTTCGGGCGAAAAATTCATTATATCCCCAAAATAATCCAAAATATAGAAGAATGCTCGAACCATCGTCCCCTGACTATTTGTTGGATTATGTTTGCATATTTCCCCTGTAATTAGAGGGACATGTCCGACTTCAGAGTAGCGCCGTTGCGAACAAGCTGCCTTGCCGTGGAAACCTACGACTGGAGTTAAGTCGGGCCTGTCCTTTTACAGGAGGAATATCCAAAAATAGTCAAAAGATAGTCTGGGGACGATTTGTTTGATGATTCTTCCACCATTTTGGTTCCCATCTGTTCTTCAAGATCTGCCTGTAGGGGGACTTGCCCGACCTGACCCTTGGCCAGGCAGATCGTGAGGCTCCTGGTGCCCGAGCCCCCGGCGCCACCATTTTGGTTCCCATCTGTTCTTCAAGATCTGCCTGTAGGGGGACTTGCCCGACCTGACCCTTGGCCAGGCAGATCGTGAGGCTCCTGGTGCCCGAGCCCCCGGCGCGGACGCCCGGCGTGAAGGAATGCCGCGCCCAGCTCCCAGGGCCCCCAGACATCAGCTTTTCTTGGCATCGCTCGGGCGTGTGAATTTTTCCTTCGGCGAGGACAATCCAGGAGCATCCTTGATTATTTTTCGAAAAACCACGCACGAACTTGAAAAAAAACACAGGGAATGGACGTCCGAGCGATGGCCAGTTTTCGTGATGCTTCGTGGGCCTCTGGGGGTCCCGACCACCTCCCCGACCCTTCCCCGACGGCCCAGGAACCCTCTTGCACACTACAGTCGGCCCGGATTCGTAGGTCGACCCTGTCAGCTCAAGGTTACCCTTGTGTCCTGTGCCTCGCGACGCGTGCCTTCTTACACTCCTATGGCGATGTGGCCCTCGGAAGGGTCATGAGTCCTCTCGCGTGTCCTGTCCAATCAAGGCCGACGGAAGGTGCGTTAGCTATGCGGTGCGCGCTGCGTGGTGAAAGCCCCCTGCGCTGCCAGCAGCGTCGTGCCGTGCAGCCGACCTGAGCAGGAAGCACGCGATGCGAGCAGCGTGGTGCAAGCTGCGCGTGGCGCGGGCTGTGTTGTGCAGCTCTCATGCGGAGCACGCAGTGTGATCCAGCTACGCGGTGCAAGCATGTGCGGGTTGAAATCCACGCATCGCAAGCAGTGTACAGTCGGGGCCCTGAAGAAGGAACCCTTTTGGTTGGGGAGGGGCTCCGCGTTCCATAAGTGTTTCACAGCTTGCCTCAGGCTTTCCTTATGTTTTCGACAGGGAATCGAAGGTTAACTTATGGAAAAAACTAGCCTCTTTCCTTATTTTGGGCTCCTTAGGTCAAGGCCCCGACTGTACGTGTGGCGCAGGCTATGTTGTGCAGCTCATGCGGATCGCGCAGCGTGATCCAGCAGCTACGTGGTGCAGGCACGTGCGGGCGGGAACCCACGCCTCGCAGGCAGCGTAGAGCAACACGCCCGGGCCAGCCCACGAGGCGCCCCGGGCAGCCCACCGGGCGAGACCCGCCGCACCCCCTCCACCGCCTCGGGGGCGCCGGAGCGCCCACGGGGCGCCCGCGGCCGCCCTCGCGGCGAGGCCCCGCCGCGCCTGTCCTCCTCCAGCTCCTCCTCCGCCTCCGCCGGCCTCCTCACCCCTCTCCTCCCTGCCGCCGCCTTTGCAGCCTCCTCCTCCTCAGCCTCCTCATCCCTTCCTCTCCTGCCTCCCTCCTTCCTCCTCCCCACCATTCCCCTCCTCCTCCTCCTCCTCCTCCTCCTCCTCCTCCTCAGTGCCACAAAGCGAGAGCCCCTGCGTGGGCGACGCAGCAAAACGGGGTCGTCTGCGCCGACATGGGCGCGCAAGCTGCCCCGCGTGAGCTCGCGCGTGGGCGTCCGCGTCTCCAGGGTAGCGTGCCGCGCTGGCGGCCCGCGTGAGCTGCGGCGCAAGGTCGCTGCGTCGTCTCGCGTACGATCCGTGTTTGATCGTCGCTCACGTGGTGCAGGCGCAGTTTGGGAAGAAGAAGAAGAAGAACAAGAAGAAGAAGAAGAAGAAGAAGAGGAAGCGCAGCTGCAGGCCACCGCAAGCTGGCTCTCGCCGGCCCCGCCCTGCGCCCCCCCCCGTCGAGTGTGCGCAGGCCACAGCTTCCTGCACGCAGGCCGTGGTGGAGAGCGGGGGGGGGTCTCTTTCTCGCTCTCTCTCTCCCCTTGCCTCGTTCCTCGGCTCGGGCCCTGCAAGCACAGCGCTGGCTCTCTGACATCCCACTCGGCGGCGTCCCCACCCCTCCCCCGAAGACTACCGTGGGGCCATGGTGTGGGACGTGTTCGCCTACACGGTGCCGCTTCTGCTGCTCCTCGTCCCCCGTCCCCCTCCCTTTTTTCCTTTTTTTTTTATTTTTTTTTTTTTTTTTTTTTTTGTTGTTTGCTTTTTTTTTTTCTTTTTTATTTTTTTGTTTTTTTTTTTTTTTTTTTTTTGTTCATCCCTTGCCTCCGCCTGCGTGGGGTGCTTTCCTGTGGAGGCTGCGGCAAGTGTGCCACTGTGAACCCCCTTGGCCGCCCAACCCAGCTCCTCCCCCACCTCCTCTTCCCAACCCCTACACGGTGCTGCCCGTGGGCGCGGTTCTGGTCACAGCGCTGGCAAGCGGCAATTTTCTGGCCATGAAGCTTGCAGCCCCGGTCTTGCAGAAGCGGGTCGAGGTCGGTTTCGTGCGGTTGTCGCTGTCTGTGCTGATGCTGGCCGTCTGCGGTGTGTTGAGCGCGTTCTCCTTCTCCGAGAAGAGCCATTACGAGGAGGAGGTCCGGGCCGCAAACCTTGCCGAGGAGCGGCTGACGGACGCAATGTATTTCCGGAAGATGGACAGGATGCACCAGAGCCGCGGCAACTTGTATTGTGCGCTGCTGGGCCTGGCGCTGTGGGCCATCTCGTGGGCAGCGGACATGTCCACTTCCACGCCCTCGCGGTCTGGATTCCCTGGCTCGTTTCTGTTGATCCGCAGCTGCACGGGTAGGTTCCGCGCGGGGATGCGCGAAAGGACGCCCCGTATCCATGGGGTCGCGGCCCAGGGGCCTGGCCCGCGAGGCCGTGGGTTCGGATGTGCTTGCCGCCCACGACCATCGCGCGGCAGCTCGAGTACCTGCACGGGCGGGGGCAGCTGACTCCGCCCAGACGGCGTGGGGTCGCCAAGGGCCTCCTGGGGCGTGCCCTGTGGCTCGCAGTCGGCGCCGTGGCCCTGCTCGGCGGCGACATCCCGCTGTGCAGGGCCCACTACGCCGTGCAGATATCCGGGAGGCAGGGAAGGTGCGCTCCTCAGTCGAAGAAGGACACCGGCGTAAACATCATTTTTCGGAGTTCCAGGCGGATTTCTTGGATCGGCGCTGTGGCCCCCCTGGCGGCGCCTCCGGCGCCGCCCAAAGCGCGCTCCATGCGCCAGGGAGGGGGGCCACAGCGCAGATCCAAGAAATCCTCGCGGAGCTCCGACAGTTTCTGTTTACACAGTCTTTTGCTCCTCTATTCAGGGCTGGAGACAGCGAGTGGCGGAGAACGTCTCGACACACGGCGGCAGTGCTCTTGGGTGCGCCAATGTCTTGTGTCGTCAGAAGTCTCCGGCCCGCCGCTCCCGCTCGCCTCTTCGTTCCTTCGTCCCCCTGCCCCTTCCGTCGGGTGCGCGAGCATGCCCACCTACAAGCCGAAACGCAGCAGCCCGCTCTTCGCGCCAGGAGATGCCTTATAGGACCGTCGGAAGCCGCCGAGGCTCCTTGGAGCACTGCAAAGGGCGGGTGCGGCAACAGGGGTTCCATCGGCTGCCGCGTGCCACCCCCCCCTGGGTGGGTTGGTCGGTGCACCTCTCTGGGGCCCCCCGACATCCGTCATGCTGACCCCATGGAAGCAGCAGCTGCTCGCCAAGTCCTCCAAGTGCGAGGACGCGACGGCCACCCACATGGGGTCCGAGCAGACGGGGTCGGAGGATCGCTCCGCATCGCCCCTGCATCGGCACTGCGGCGCGATGCCGAGCCTGCTTCTCAGCACGCTGACATCGCCGATGCATCGGCGACGCGGCGCCATCCTCCGGCCCCATCTGCTCGGACCCCATCTGGGAGGCCTCCGAGGACGCGACCGCCGCTCAGCCGCACTTCTGCGAGCAGTTCTGCGAGCAGGCGCGCGCGCTGGCCGAGGAGCGGCTTGCGACGATCCGGCGTGTGCGGGACTGGCACCCCCTCGGGCGCGTAGCGGCCGAGGTCTTCGACGACACCCGCGGAGTGGAGCTCGGAAGAGTAAAAAGTACTGATACATGGCACCCCGCCACTGTGGAGAAGAGCGAGGGGGCCAGGAGGGAGAGGAAGGGGAGGGAGAAGCGGAGCTACGACCAGGCGTTTCTTCAGGCAGTCCGCATCCTCAGTGTGCCCGTCAGCGTGCCCGCCCAGCCGCACCCTCCCAGCGCGCCCTCCCAGCGCGCCTTCCCGGCCTGCCCTCCCTGCGTGCCCTTCCAGCGTGCCCTCCCAGCATGCCCTCCCAGCGTGCCCTCCCAGCATGCCCTCACAGCGTGCCCTCCCAGCGTGCCCCCCCAGCGTTCCGTCCCAGCGTCGCCGTCCCTACTCCGGCCACGCGCGCGCAAGGATCATGTAAGATTTGTCGACCCCTCTAAGGACAAGTGCCTAGGAGGCTTTCAGACCGTGGGGGATTCCTTATCTGATGACGGCAGCAGTGATGTCGATGGCCAGTCCACGATAGGGCTTCTACTGGCTTGCAAATCCTGGTTTCATGATCCAATTGTTCCTCATCCAGTGCCCTCGCCATTCCCTTCCCTCGTGCTGGCCGTTTGGGGCATCCTGGGAGGCCCGCGTCGCCGACGCTGCGCTTCGAAGTTTTGGTCAGATCGCACCCCGGGATGTCTGGGGGGGGTGGACGTATCGGTAGCATCTGGTTCTGTCCAGGAGCAGGGGGCAGACCGCATCGACCAGCTGTTCGCGGCGAAGACGTGCGCCCAGGCCTGGCTTCGCCTTCGGGGCACATCCTCTGCATCTCGAGTGTTCGGGCTTTCCTTTAGAAACGAGAAGCAGTGGATATGGATGGCAACCTGGCCTCCAGCGAGTCCAGATTCTATCCATATCCTGGGCGCCTCGGGATTTCTGAACCCCTCCCCCGAGTTACATGGCGTCGTGGATATATATATATATATATATATATATATATATGTCAATCTTGCCCGCGTCGCCAGCGTTTGTTGCTCGTTTTGTTTTGTGGGGTCGGCCCTCTACCCAGATGCTCCCCCGCCCCCTCGCGTGCATGATCATGCCCAGCTGTTTTTTTTGTGGGGTCGGCCCTCACCCAGATGCTCCCCCGCCCCCTCGTGCATGATCATGCCCAGCCGTTCTTTGAGGCGCCACTTCGAGGATCGAGCCTTCGGCTCACACGCCTGGCCGCTCCATGCCTGCAACACGCTGCGGCCGTCGCGGGAGCCGGGAGAGACACGAAACCGGGCGGGCGGGCCCGACGCACGGGGGTCGCCTCGGCAGGTCGGAGCCTTGGGTGCGCCAGGGCGCAGGATCCCGCAAGATCCTGCACACTCCTTCGAGCGGCTGGCCCCCGCTGAGACGCTCCGGGCAAGGAGACCGCGCCGCCTCACGGTCGTTGGCCCCAGCCAGGACTCCGCGGCACCCTTTCAACGCAGAAGAGGCCCCCCCCCCCCCCCGTTATCGGCGGCGAGTCTGGGGGGAAGTGAGAAGGGGCGGGCCTTCTTAGAAGGCTCGGGAAGCCCCTCCAGCCTTCTGAGAAGCTTCCTAAGACTTAAGATACAGAAAACTTCTCAGAAGGCGCGAGGGCTTCTGAGAAGTTCCAGCGCCGTCTGAGAAGGCCGTCTCCTTCTCAGTTCGCCCCGCCTCGCTCGCCGCCGACTTTCGCGCGGGCCTTGCGCAGCCTTCCGACGCTGTGGCTTCTTTCGCAGCGTGGGCTCCCGAGTTGTCACTCCCGCCCAGGGGGGGCCAGCTCTTTGCTCGGCGGCGAGCGAGGGGGGGAAGTGAGAACGGGGTGGCCTTCGCAGCAGGCTCGGGAAGTCTCCGGGTCTTCGAAGAAGTCTTCGAAGCCTCCCCCGACGACCTTGAGAAAACTTCTAAGAAGGCGCGAGGGTTCTCCTCCCGTGCTGTCACCTCCCGCGCCCCGCGTGCCGCAGCCTCTGCTTCCGCCCCTGGGTGTGGCCGTGACGCCGCCCCGCGCCCGCTGCCAAGGGGGGTGCAGTTTGGGCTGGCCGCCCCGGCCGCTCCGAGGCGATGCGCCTCGCCCTGTGAGCACCCTCCCTCCCATCCGTTCTCCCCGCGGCCGTGTTCGCCTTACCCTCCCCCCTTTCATCGAGGATAAAAGATCTCCCAAGCGGAGTAGCACGATTAAGACGTGGCCTCACTGAGGTCCCCGCCCTTGCACCAGGGATCGCACGTAAGTTTGGGCGGTTTGGTTCGATACATCTGGGGGAAAGACCCCGTACCCCTAATGGTTGTGGTCCTCCTAACTGAGGTCCCATCCCAGAGGGTTATGGGTCCTTCTGGTCAATCACCCTTGCCGCCGAACATCTACAGTTTGCGTTTTCCGTATCCCGGATCGCCTGAGCACGCGTGCGGTCTGCTTCCGCCGTTCAAAGTGTCTGGTGTTGCTTTGAACTAGCGTTGGCATATCCGGCCCAATCTGGATAGGTATGGGCGAGTCTTGTTGAGTCGTGGTTTAGCTTTCTATCGTTCCCAATCGTGGCCCAGCTTCCCTCCCGTTGTCACCTCGAGCCTGACACCTAATCGTCGTGCCCTTGTTCGCAGTGCCTGGCTGTCTCGGACCTTGGTCTCGAGCTCCACCCCTGGACCTGTCCTGGAGCGCGCTCTTACCATGATTCCGCGGCGGACCCACCCGTGACGACGAGGCCCCCCCCCGCTCCAGGAGGATCTCCCCCACAACCAAATACCCTTGCGTTTCAGGTTTGTCGATCGCAGATCGCTGATCGCCCGCCGAGGTCATCCGCAGATCGGACGCGAGCAACATGCTGGTGAACTGCTTCTGCGTCGCCCTCGGCGGCCTGCTGGTTGTGGTCGCGTTCTCGGCCTTCTCGGAGGCGCTGTCGGACTCGGGGATGGTGCCCGCGGAGGCCCCGGGGGGGGGGGGGGGGCGCATGGGTCTTGGAGTCGGCTGGGGGTCCGAGGTGGCCCAGCACGGCCTCTCGTCGCCACGGCTGGAGGTGGGGAAGTTTGGCGCGTTAGGATCTGGGCAAGGGTCCAGAGACCGATCTTGGGGGGATTTGCATTCGCCCGCCCAGCCTGGCGACTCGTTCCAGGGAGGCACAGACAGGGATTGGGGGCACGCAGACCAGCGACGCGCCCGTTGCCGTACGGGTTCGGCGCGTTGCGTTGCCACGCCTGGTGGCGTTGATGCTTCGGGGGTAGGCTGCCCGATCTGCGGATTTGGCGTCCGCGCGCCAGCTCCACGGATCTGTACTCCATGTCAGCGTGTGCCCGATGTCGGGAGGTTGGGCTCGTCGCCGCTCTTGATCTTCCATGGGTGCTGATCCGCCCCAGTCCAGCCGAATCCGTTTCAGTGTGGCTTCACCCGGCGCAATCTTGGTTGATCTGCCGGCTCTCCGTAGTTGTTTTTTTGGAAAAAACAATAAAAAATGGTTCAGTCGGTT